TAATTCCAAACGAAAATAAAGTATTTTAAAGTATAACATTTTAAGTATGTTTTTATATTGTGTTAATTGGTTGAATTTATTGATAGTTGAATACTTTTATGTAAATTTAGATTTTTTTTTAATTATTATTTCTAATATTGTACAAGGTTGAGATGTGTGTGACACTCTTAATTGAAGGTGTGACTCGGTACGAATATTTTTGTAATGTTGAACAGCAACAAGATATCCAACACTATCTTTGTTATTTCCGTGACCTTTTACTGTAAGGTCTATGGCTGATGAAAATAAAAAGCGTCCAGATTTAGAATAGAATTACTAAAATAGAACAGTTTAAAATTCATATTCAAACCTGAACAACGCCCCCGGCTTAAATTGCATGAATCCTTTGAATACCTAAGTTGTCTAGATATAAACTTATCCAACATTAGTCATTAATCTAGCTAATAATCCCACTAAAAGGAAAAAAAATGAATATTCTAAAAAAGACTCCCAGGTTGAGTATGACTACATTACTAAAGGCTATATTATTTGATCACGGGCAGTATTATAAAGACTAATTATATTTGACATTATTAAAGATGACTAATTTTTCTCTCTGAATAATTGTGAATTGTACTGTAAAGACATGACTTCCAAATACTTTATACCCCCCCCCCAAGTTTCCAAGATTATGAAAGAGGAGTCGATTTGTTTTTATTAGATGTCTTTCTAGTTACAGTTGAAAGCAAGCTTCAAGAGTTTCAATGGAAATGATGTCACAATATTTTTATACAAATTACACTATCACTCGAATAAACCCCCAAGAATCAAAAGCAAAGCTGTGTACTTTTGTAAGAATTAGAATGACACAATAAACTCTTTGTATACTATGAATGTTTACAAATTGAAAAAAAAAATCAATATCTATTGGAGACAGCACTCAATTATCAAAACAAATTGACAGAAAAAGTGATTTTATCAATACAGTATGTAATAACAATCAATACAATAATAAACACATTCTATTTCAAAGAAAAAAATAAGTGGAAATACTATTATGTTTAAATCAGGGTGTTGCTTGTGTACGAACTCTGTGCCAATGTCAGAATATGATCTTATATTTGACCGCGGTTACTAGTAACCGTGATTTGACAAAGTAAGGCTTCTGAATAAAATAAGAACTCTTCGAAGAAAGACACAGATGCCGGACGATCGTATGGGTTTTAAGAGTAGTGCTTTTAAATCCGTTATATGTTGGGTATGATATATAAATAACTTTTACATTATGATGGATTAGTTAATTTAAAATAACATTTATGCTCCATTAAGTAATAAATAATTAAATGCATACACCGTAGGCTAATTAATGATCCCCAAGTACCGGTTTTACCTACGGCTTTAACACGTTCCAGGACGTAACCAGAATCGCTAGATAATTGAACAGCTATTAGACCACAGTGTTTTGGTATAAAAAACGAAATCCAACATATATTCAAGTCACTTACCGCTACTCTTTGAGTTCATGATGTCTGTGATTACACATAATCTTATGTGGTTTTTACTTTCTTGTTTCACAAGGTTGTCGCTAACGACAACTAATATGTATTCAAGTTACTTACAGCTACTCTTTGGCGTCGGGGGAACCGGTGCCAGAGTTAAAGAGCGGTAGTCGTCGCGCTGCGCATGTGCCACATTTGTGTTGATAACCGTTGATTTTCCCAAAATCCAATGCGCTCTTCAAATGGAAATCACCGTGAGGTTTGACTTGGGCGCGACTTGCACTGATTACCGCCGGTGACTCCTTTGATACCTTCCATTAACATGAAAATTACTTAATTAAAGCTTGGAAACGTCTCAGTTCGCACTCGTTGATCTGCGTAACAGTCAAAGTTGCCATCTTTGTTTATATGAGACCCATATATCTCGCACATGCGCAGCGCGACGACTACCGCGCTTTAATTATGTCTGCCATTACCAACAATCCTATGTGATTTGTACCTACATATATTGGTTGGTAAATGTTTGGCGAATTCCGCCAATACACAGACTGTATCTGTTGATACGCTTCATACACTTTTTGTTTAATTTTGTTTCCAAATGTTGAATTATTAGATGCCAGCTGCAGAGTAGTAGTGTTTTTTGTCGTCATTAAACCAAACTAAAGAATCCTTAGCACACATTTGTGTCTTTGAATGAATGCAAGAAAGAAATATGCAAATTAGCTGCCAGGTGAAAATGAAAAAAATATAGCAGAAGTAAAGTGCAAGGAACTTGCTCGTACGATAACATACATATTCAGGTTGTTACCAGATGGGTGAAAACACACAATTCGAAGACAAAACTGTACAAGTTGATTAGATTTATTCCAAATATTCACCGATGTCCCAACTGAGATACAGCTGCGAAATTCACAGTTCGAGTTGTTGTACATCTCAGCCCATCTCTTAACTAACCCAAAAGACTATCAGGGCCGTTCATAATATAAATAAATCTTCCGTTTCTATGGAAATTATCATGCGATTACAATGATGACCCAAGTCATGGTTCGGGGACTGCCCTATGTTCCGACATCTCTATGTTCCGACATACAGTATACTTGTGACTAGCTTAATTGTAATGCACATCATACCCTGCGTGACCTTTGACTGCTATGATCTGTAAATGATG